CAGATCGGTTTCGGGGGGGTCCTGGCCCGGAGCGTCCTGTCCAGACTCCCAGGTCGGTTTCGGCTGGGCCCGACTCGGAGTTTCCTGCCCAGACCTCCAGGTCGGTTTCCGGGGGGCCCGGCCCGGAGCCTCCTGCCCAGATCCCCAGGTCGGTTTCGGGGGGACCTGGCCCGGAGCACCCTGCCCTGACCCCCTGGTTGGTTTCGGCTGGTAGGGTGGCTCGGCTGGCCACGGCTAAGTCCCCACGAAGGTCTCCTGCGGGGCGGGACACTCGCAGTGCCGGACCAGTTCGTAGGTGTGTCGGGGGAGGCTGTTGGGCCCGGCGCCGGCTCACCCCTGGACGGTTGGAGCCCCGAACTGCCTCTCGGGTCCCCGCAGAAACGAGTGTACCCCGGACCCTGTCCCAGGGGTGACAGCTGAGAAGATCCGAGCGGGGGAGTGGGAATCGGAGATGGCCCTCCACCAGCCGCTGGAGGGGGACTTGGGCCTTGCTGCCCATCGCCATCCTCTTGGCCCCTGACTAGGTGTGGCCTTCTAGCCCCTTTCAGTGCAGACCGAGTAGCAGCTTCGTGTTTAGTTCAAATCCAGTTCCCAGTCCTGGCCAGACCCAAATAGGAAGCAGCTAGGGAGGGTGGGGCTGTGGCCCCGCTGTGAGTGCTACCATGCACAACTGTCTGAGGGCTCACAGGGGCACAGGACTCTGTTTGTTCCAGGGGAGTGAAACGTGTAATCTGGCCTCAAAGAAAGGAACCTGAGGACCTCACTTGATCGAAAAGTCCACATATCACCCTCGCCATGGTGGACCTAGGTGCTTGGGACTTGCAGTTGGTGGTCTGTGCACAGCATGGCACTGCCAACCCCTGCAGCTGCCTTCTCAGGCAGATGTGTGTGTGAGTGGTGCCAGACTGCCTCCACCAGCCTTGGGCCTCTACCAGCCCAAGCGAAGCAGTCCTGGAACAGGGAGAGACTTCCGCGAAGTCCTGGGCCTGGGTGTGTCACGGGCCTTCTGGTCAAGCTGTGGTCTCACACCACACGACACCTAAGTTGCATGGACTCAGGTCCAGAGAGAAGGGGAACAGGGCAGATGGATGCTAGGCAGCCTCACAGCAGAACCCTGCGGTTAATTTCCTTTTTGACAGATTGTCTACACTGTCTCCTTCAGGATGATACACTTTACGTCCTTTGTGGGGACTTGTGCAAAGCGTTCCTGGGGCATATATGCTGTGTTCACATGTTGAATCTGTTATGGTTTTTTAATTTCCTTGTCTTTTCCGCTGTCATTTTCTTGTTTGTTTTTGAGTTGGAGTTTGACTCCGTCTCTCAGGCTGGAGTGCAGTGGCATCCTCACCACCATCCCAGCATCCACCTGCTGGGCTCAGGAGATTCTTCCACTTCAGCCTTCCAAGTAGCCTGAACTACAGGCGCCTGCTACCATGCCTGGCTAATTTTTTGATTTATTGCAGACATGAGGTCTTGCCAAGTTGCACAGGCTGTTCTCGAACTTGTGGGCTCAGACATTTCCCCTCACCTCAGCCTCCCAAAGAGCTGGGATTACAGACTTGAGCCACCACGCCCGGCCTATGCTGCCATATTTTTGTTTCTGAGACGGGGTCTCACTGTTGCCTGGGCTGGAGTGCCGTGGCACAATCATAGCTCACTGTGGCCTTGACCTCCTGGATTCAAGTGATCCTCCTGCCTCAGCCTCCTGAGTAGCTGGGACTACAGGCGCACAGTCATGCCCAGATACTTTTTAAGTTTTTTGTGGAGACGGGTCTCATGATGTTGTCTAGGCTGGTCCTGAACAGGCCTCAAGTGATCCTCTCACCTCAGCCTCCCAAAGCACTGAGATTTTTTTTTTTTTGAGCTGGAGTCTCACTCCGTTGCCCAGACTAACGTGCAGAGGCCGCTCCTGGCCACCGCAGCCTCAACCTGCTGGGCTCTGGCAATCTTTCCACCTCAGCCTTCCAAGTAGCTAGAATTACAGGTATGCGCTACCACGCCCAGCTAATTTTTGATTTATTGTAGAGATGAGGTCTCACCAAGTTGCCCGGGCGGGTCAGCACTGAGATTATAGGTGTGAGCCACCACACCTGGTATTTGGATGGGGAGAACTGGGGGGAACAGTCCCCACAATCCCTTGGAGAGGACATGAAGGCAGTGCTGTGAGGCGAAGTAGGGCTAGTCAGGGAAGCAGTAGTTGGGTCATAAACACTACCTTAAAGATCATGCCACTAGGCCAGGTGCAGTGGCTCACGCCTATAATCCCAGAACTTTGAGAGGTTGAGGTGAAAGGATTGCCTAAGCCCACAGGTTTGAGACCAACCTAGGCAACTTGGCGAGACCTCATCTCTACAATAAATCAAAAAATTAGGGCTGGGCACGGTGGCTCAGCCTGTAATCCCAGCACTTTGGGAGACCAAGGCAAGAGAATTGCCTCAGCCCAGGGATTTGAGACCAGCCTGGGCAACTTGGTGAGACCTTGTCTCTACAATAAATCACAAAAACTAGCCAGGTATGGTGGTGTGTGTCTGTGTCTGTAGCTCCAGCTACTTGGAAGGCTGAAACGGAAGGATCACTTGAGCCCAGCAGGTCAAGGCTGCGATGGTGGTGAGCATGCCACTGCACTCTGACCTGGGTGACAAGAATGAGACTCCAAGTCAAAAAAAAAAAAAAAATTATGCCTCTTGAAGCAAGTGTGAGAGGGCAGCTTGCTGTGATCACTTTGTGTGGCTGTCCGCTCACTTTCATTAAGCTTGCAACCTGGCCCTGGCCGGCCAAGTTCAAACAGTTACACTTGAGGTATCCGGTGAAGCCTTCTTGATGTGGCAGAGTATTGCCTTCAGGGTGAATGCTGGCAGAGCACGCTCTGGCTGTGGATTGCTCTGACTGTGGATTGCTGCTGTATTTTCTGCTAGCAAATGGCCTGGGGTGGGCTTCCTGGTCCATCCCAAGGTTTGCGGGTAGTAGTGTGTGGAAGTACTTCCTTCTGGGTGGGTCATGCGGAGCTTGCCCTCACCCCTGCTGGGCCTACAAGGCCCTTTTAATGGTGTGCTGGGTTGCATGGAGGCCAGTGGTGGACAGAGCGGGAGGCATTTGACTAGGGAAATCAGGGAGGCTCCTGAAGGGTGTGGCTCAGGCTGGACCGAGAAGGGCCTGGGTGAGTTTCCTCCAGCAGAGACTGGGCTGGAAGCAACTGCAAGGTGTGGTGGGTGGTTCAGTTGGGAGTTTGGAGCCTGGGCTGTGTGGGGGTCTTGAGAGCTCGAAGGACTGTCTGGGGCTCTGTCAAGGGGTGGGCAGGAAGAGGAGGTGCTTATTTGCTTGGCTTGGAGGAATCCTGAAGGTCTGGTGGAGGAGTGGGTGATCAGCATCGTGCAGACATGATGACCTGAAATGGGAAGAGACCCAGACCCATTGGAAGGTGCTGGGAGCTGCTGTGGCTGATAGGAAGGAGACGAGGTCCCACATTAGGGTTGGTGGCACGGGACAGGAAGGAGGTAGTGAGCACGTGTGGCAAGGGTCAGGGCTTCCAGAACGAGAAGCGGGGGTGGGCTGTGGTGCTGAGGCCACGCATGTGGGAGGACCGCTGTGGGCGCCTGGCCTTAGTACCCTGCTGCAGGTCCTGGGGGTGTGGAGTGGAGTGAGCCACCAAGGTCTAGTCATTGTCAGGAGCCGGCCCTGGTTGGGGGCAGAGTCCAATGGTGGTGGTTTTCTGAGAAGGAAAGGGCCAGGAGTCTGGAGATCCTTCTGAGGAGGTTAGGTGCGGGCAGAGACCAAAGGAGTTGAAGGACGTCTGCAGGGAGCCACAGGTGCAGAGGCTCCAGAGCGCGCGGGTTGGTTTTAGGTTTGTGTGAACTGCGACGTCAGGATGGTGGTGACTGACTGTGATTGATGGCTGCTGATGTCCAGGGCCCCTACTGGAGGCGTTTGGCCAGAGAGTACCATGTGAGAGATGGTTTGGGAGCCTCTTGAGTGGCAGTGTTGGTGGCAGGAGGGGAGGCCTGGCGTGGAGAAGCAGGAGAAGGCTTGGTGGTATGGGGCTACCCATGTCCCCCGCCCACGTCTAGCCTGGCCCTCCAGAGATCTCAAGGGAGATAAAGACAGCAAAGCCATTGTGTTTTAGACCAGTAGTCTTCACACTTTGTTCTTGGCTGCAGACCTCTTTGCCTTTCCATTTTCATGGTTATGAGAACTCCAGTATACAGAAGAGATGGAGCCAGAGCTGTCCCGATGTCTGGCAGGGGGGCCCTGTGCTCCCATCACCACCCCTCTCCTCAGCCTCTGAAGCAAAGCAGGGGGGTCCCAGGGTCTCCTGCCCATCTTGCTCGAATGATGGCACAGCCTCGCTCCTTGTGCTCAGCCCGAGAGCTGTCCTGACTGTCTCGCACGGAGCCACCAGAGTGACCTTTCTGGCCTTGAGGATGGCGCCTAGAACCCCCTGGGCTCTCTGGCCTTGTTTTCTGACTGGTCTCACCCCTGCCCTGCTCTACTGGGTTCCTGACACAGTGACCAGGACTTTACCCTGTGGCCTCGCTTCTCTCTCCATTGTTGTCTCCTCTTCCAGGTTGCAGATACTTGTTTGCCCATATGTTCAATTTTTTTCATATTCAAATTTAAAAATAAAGTTGGCATAAATTGCGTTTTCTTCTCTGAGAACTCTTAAAATGGAAAGGAGACTGAGCGATTTTTGCCTCTGCCTGGCTGTGTGAGCTTGGGTGGCGTCATTCCTCAGGCTCTGCCCGTCCAGCGCACCTCTACCTGGGGGGCACATACCTCTCTGCCCAGCCCCTCTCCAGCCTCAGGGAGAGGCTCCCCTGCTTCTGCTCTTTTGCCCTGGCTAGTGTCAACATTGCAGCCAGCTTTGGGAAGGGTGGGGCAGCCGGGTGTGGTGCGAGCAGCTTCTCTTATGTGAGGACTCCCTGGGCAGCGCACTGCGTTCTGAGCTGGAGCATGGCTGCTCTCAGGGCTGGTCCAGGCTGGCTCCAGCACGATGCGTTCTGACCCTTTCCTTCTGCTGTCTTTGTCTCCCTTGAGTTCTCTGAGGGCAGGAGTGAGGCTTTGGGTTTCTTGTTTGTGTGTCTGTGTAAATGAGGATGGTGGTAGAGCTGGTGGGAAAAGAATCCTTGGGGCCTGCGGGCATCTGGGGGGTGGGTGTCAGGGTGGCCTGTGGGTTGTGGTTCTGGGTGCTGGGATGAGATGTGCACATTTGGGCCAGCCTGAGAGGATGGGGGCTGCAGATGTGAGGGGGTGTGGCTGCTGCTGTCCTGGGTAGACAGCTGCAGTTGAGCCTCCCCCATTCTTGGTCAATGTAGGCTGTTTTGGTGTGGACGCGGGCCCCTCTCTTGGGACGAACCCATTCCGGGGCACCCTGCCCTTCACAAAGAAAAGGGAACGCTCCCTGGGGCTCCTGCCGGCTTCTGTAGGATCGGTCGCGTCACCACACCGGTCGTTGTTTTTAACAGATGAGCAGCAACAGCAGCAAGAGGGCTCCGACAACAGCGACCCAGCGGCTGAAGCAGGACTACCTTCGCATCAAGAAGGACCCTGTGCCTTACATCTGTGCCGAGCCCCTCCCTTCGAACATTCTCGAATGGTGAGACTCTGCCGCTTGCCTGCTGCCCTTGCACAGGTCTCCGCTGGCCCAGCTGGGAGCCTGGTGCCCCCGGTCATGGCACCAGCGAGGCAGTCCTCCCCGCTCCTCGAGTGTGAGCGCATGCCCAGAGGCCCACAGACCCACTCCGATCGTCTTCCCAGTGGGTGCCTGCCAGGAACACTGCAGAGTCCTGCTTGGCTCGGGTTGGGGCTAGAAGGAGACGCCCTCCTGAGGGGCCTGCGGCCCAGCACTTAGAGAAGAGGCGGCATGTCCAGGCATTCCTCTCCACTCTTCGCTTCTGGACACTGAGAGCTAACTTGTCTCCCCTCGGAGTGCTTGTGGTAGCACCAGGCCCTGACCCTCAGGCTGACCCTTGTAGGTGTCCCTCTCGTGGTGGCTCTGTCCCAAGCGTGGAGTGACGAGGTGACACACACTGCTATGGAATGCTGCCTTAGGTTTGGGAGTGATTTCGTCTCTGTGAGGCTGAGGTGTTCAAAGGCCTTTCTTTGCTTGAGGCCTTTTTTTTGCTTTGTGTTTTGATCTTTAAGAAAATACTTTTTAATTTTGTTAAATCCAGAGAAAAGAGATTTAACTGAGCTAAAAGAAGTATTTCCAGATTGGTCAGAGGCTTACCTCTTCCGGCCTTCAGAGGAGGCCCAGCCCAGCGGGGGCTTCCCTGGATGAGGTGAGCCCTCGGCACGAATGGCCTCCATGCATCACCAGAGGCTACTCTGTCCCATGGCCTTGGGATGTAGTTGACAGGTATGGGTTGGTTCCACAGGTGGCCTACCTCCTCCCTGGTTCATGAGAACGACCTTGTTGTCTGGAAGGCCTTCCCCACATGTGAGTCTGTGGATTGGGGGGGTCCCCAAGACCTCCTCTGGGTTTGATGACTCATGGGGTTTTTACCATTAACATTACAGGGAAAAGACAGCAAAATCAGTTAAGAGGTGCACAGGGTAAAGCCCATAGGGAGTAGGTACAAGCTACACCCTCTACGGTGCACTTAATTTCCAGCAGTATGCTTGGACAACTCATGTTCAGGGGCGTTACTGGGGGCTGGCCACAGAGGCATCCTCTACCTGGCACCTACCGGAATTCCAGATCCAGAAGGAGAGCAGGTTGGAGCATAAACCACATCGCTTGTACAGGCGGCTTAGGCAGTGCGCCCCTCTTCTCAGCTGGGACTGGGGGGCCAGCCCGGGGCAGCAGTGTCAGGACTGCTGTGAGAACTGCGTGGGCTCGGAGGGCGGCTTCCCTTGAGCTGAGAGAAGACTGCTTTTCCAGAAAGGCTGTTACGGGTCCAGGCCTCTGAGCACAGCTGGTTCTGCTGTCTCTGCTGCCCTTTGGTGGTGGGAGCTGTCTCAGGAGGAGACTTCTTCATTGTGTCTTCCAGTTTCTCAGCCGGGCACAGGACTTGGGGACAGTAACAAGTGAAGGCTGTGTTCCTTTGGGCCTGTGAGCCACATTCTCAGCCACTCCGCTCCTGGGCCCCGACCCACGATTACAGTGCTTTTTTCTTTGTTGTTGTTGTTGTTTGAGTAAAACACTTCAGGGGCTAGCATGTGTTGCATGATTGCATTAGTGTTAAAATGATAGGCACATGTGTCCTGGTGGGAAGAGCTCTTGGAAAGGATGGTCATCAAGTGTTTGTACTTGTGTCTGGTTTCTGGCATTTTTGGTTAGTGGTTCGTTCTTCTCTGCACTCTTGTTTTGTTTGAGAACCTGTGAAGCCCAAACACCTGTTTACACGAACTAACGCCTTCTTCCTCTTCATTTGCATGGCGGAGTGGGAATTCTGTTTGCTGCTCCTATTCTGAAGTTGAGCTCTGTGTGAGGACTTTGGTCTTGGGGACAGTGATGGCTTTTCCTGTTCATCCTGCTCTAGGACAGCTGCTCAACATCATTTCTGGTTTTTCCAGGAACACAAATGCAAGGCTGGGGGATATAGTCAGCTTCACATCACTAGCTGTGCCTTGTTTAACTGATGTGCATGCTATACAAATATCAATTATAAGTCTATATTAAAAATCCAGGTTTTCAAGTATCTCTTAATAATATATTATAAAAAAATTAAATTTTCTTTAAAATTTGAGTTGTTCAGCATAGAAGATTAACTTCTTGTATGTCATATTTTGGAAAACTTAGAAAATACAGCCACTACGGTCTTGTCAGAAAGTGACTACAGCACCTGTGCAGGCTGGTTGCATGGACCCTGTGTTGGTGTTTGCGTGGCTCCTGACTGAATGCTTCTGGGTGTAGGCTGGGTCCTGTAAACCCCAGCCTCAGAGCAGCTCTGATTCTGGAGAATCTGCCGTCCAGATCTCAAGTAACTTTCTTCTCTCCTCAGGCACTATGTCGTCCGAGGCCCTGAGATGACCCCTTATGAAGGTCAGTATTCTGCTCTGAGGTAGAGGAACAAGAGGCCGTTTTTTGTGTTCTGAGTAGACCATGTCTATTACACATCTTTTATTTGTGATTAACAGTCTTTCTATTTTGGATGCGCATTAGTTAAATTGGACTTACATGGAACTCATCCTAATATTTCTCCAAGCTCAGACTTTGCTTTTGCTGGTGTGTCTAAATCTTCAGGGACCGTCTGTAAGTATCTGTTTCACTCGCCTCTGACGCCATGGGGTCAGCGCTGGAGAAGACAGATTGGGGTACGCGGGGAAACGGCACCTTGTTCTCTTGTCTCCTGAGACCAGGGTAAATGTTGTGGAAGGAAAGAAAGGTGTATTTGTTGAGAGCTTGCTCTGTGCTTGACACTTCAGTGTCTTGTGGTCATCAAACAGGCTGAGCTAAGCTACAGACCCCTTGTGTGGTGGGACACCGGGGGCGTAGAGAGCTCCAGGACTTGCCTGGCTCTTTGATCCCAGCTGCTGCCGAGGCTGATACAGTGGCCTGCCCTCTCCAGGTCACCAGATGCCATCTAGGATCTTTGGTGTGATTCACAAAGCAGACTTTGAAGCTATCATCAAGTGTCTGGGGCCCTCCGGGAGATTGGCACCAACTTTGGGGCCAGGACCAGGTTTGGCAACAACACCCATAGACAAGCCCAGGACAGAGCGGTGGCTGGGGGGCAGCACCTTGGCTCTCCAGCCACTGGGTCCCAACTTCAGGCAGTTGGAACGGTAGGCTTTTGTCTGCCCACGTGTGGGGTTGTGGAAGATGTCTCCAGGGAAGAGTTCTCTGCTAGAAGGAAGTTGGCAAACCCCTGCTTTGTACTATCAGGAAAGGATGAGTGGATGAGTCCCAGCCAGGATGATCTGTTCCAGGGTGGCAAGTGTGCAGAAGTGCCTCTGTAGGGTGAACCCGTTGTCATGATGACATTCATGGCTGATTGTGGTGATGCTGGAGATGACTGCAGCTGCGGACAGAATAGCGCCCAGGTAGTGGGTGCTGGCGGCCGCATCCAGGGCGAGCTCCTGGAGGCGAGAGTGAGGGCAGGGAACCTTACTTCCTGCGTGCAGGAAAACTGAGCAAAGGTGACCTGTAGCAAATGAAATTATGCTAGGTTTTCAATTTGGTTTTGTTTTGTGGTTTTAGTAAATAAAGTACTAAATATATGGTAATTTTGTAACCAAACTCCACCCCTCTGCCCAAGACCAGCCAGGGCCTTGATGGCAATGAACCACGTGCACACACACACATGCAAGGTGAGGACATGGCTGGAGAGGAGTGGCAGCCCTAGGGATGTGCAGAGCGGGGCCCTGACCCTGTTTCTTGTGCTTTCTCTGTCTGCAGTCCCCTTGCTGACCCTCTGTTCTTCTAGGGGTCTTCAGAGAGCCCCTCTGAATTACCACATGCCAAGGGCTATTCTCAGTCCTGTTTCTTGCCCTCTAGTTTAGGGTGCTGTGACTGACCACTTCCTTCCTGACTTCTAGGTATTCTGACCCCTCTTCCCCACCTTCTTTAGTGGCTCCTCTGCCTAGTCCACGTCTGTCTGGCCACATGGGTTGGCCCTGGCCAGTCCTTGTGCTGGGCTCCATGACTGTTCTGTACCTACTGGCTTCCTATAAGTGTTGCTATACAATTCCACCTAAATTTGTAGATTTAATGTGGTCTTATCTAAATCCCCACATTTTTGTAGGCTCCACAGCTTATTCTAAAATTTACATGAAAAGGCAAAGGACTTCATCCTGCGCCTTTGGGAGGCTGAGGTGAGTGGATTGCCTGAGCCCGTGGGTTCAAGACCCGCCTGGGCAGCGAGACCTCATCTCTACAATAAATCAAAAAATCAGCTGGGCGTGGTAGCGCATGCCTGTAATTCCGGCTACTTGGAAGGCTGAGGCGGAAGGATCGCCGGATCCCAGCAGGTCGAGCTGCGGTGGCCAGGAGCGGCCACTGCACTCCAGTCTGGGTGACAGAGTGAGACTCCAACTCAGAAGAAAAAAAAAAAGAAGATTAAAGTAGAGTCAGTGGTCTCAAGACTTACCTCTGGGGTGAGGACCAGGTGGTGGGGGTAGACCCAGATCATGGGGCAGAGAGACCAGGAGCAGCCGTGGCGGCCCCCATGTGGCCTGTGCCACCAGTAGTCTGGAGCAGGACGTGGTCCTCAGTGGATGTCCAAGGACCACCATTTACCTAGGGCCACCATTTACCTAGCCCCCCCTTGAAGAACAAGCGAGTGTTTCCCGTCTCTTGTGGGACACCTGGTACTGTGGATGTCTGTGTTTGCGTGTCTTGAGGATATCAAGCAGTGGGGTTGCCGATCAGGGCGGGTTTTTCTGGCAGGTCTGTGCACGGTGAAACAGGAGAATGTCCGTCTTCCCATCCTCTGCTGAACTGAAAGAGCACTTTCCCTGCTGTGGGAATTGCATTTCCCAGTGAGGACTGAGCCAGATGGAGTTTCAAGCCCACTGTGGTGTTCCTGCTTCTTCTGAAGAAAAGTGCCTATTTCTATTTTGTGCTTATTTTCCAGTGTGTCCCTGGGCATCATTTATAGCATAAGTCTCTTGCTGGCGCCTTATCTGCACATCAAGCTGGCTCTGCAGGTGGCTTTGCTTATATTATCCTTCCACTGCTGACTCCACATCTACTCCTGTGTGTACGCGAGCATCACCCCTGGGACAGAGTGCAGACAGGAGCCACAGTGTCCCTGGGCTCAGGAACTGCTTCATCAAGGGGCAGGCACACAGTAAAATGGTGTTTTCATATAGGACCTTTAGAATGGAGAGCAGCCCTCGGGGACCAGGAGACCCATATCACGGAGATATAAACTGTGACTTACTGGTCCTGGGTGTGTGCGGCACACACACACAGAGGTCAGGGAGTGTGGAGAGGGAACCTCCCGGCCAATCCCATTATTGGTCCTAACAGATTTCCCGCAGGAAGATTGACTGGTGGTTCTAAAGTCTAGGGGCCCGAGCCCTGTGGGGCCACACTGTGGCTGCAAGGTAGACACGGTGGCACATCTGCACAGTCTGTACTGAGTGTGGGGTCAGTGGCCCATAGTAGGTTGTGTGCATCTGTCCCATGGGGAGAGGTTACCAGGAGCAGTTGTACAGGCAGGAGCCACCCTTAGGAACTGGGGTGGGGGAGTGGACCTGGGGGCTGTTAGGTGACTGCCCTGCTTCCAGTACGAGAAGGTCCTGCTTGTGTTCAGCCAATGCTGAGGCTGCCTAAAATCCCAAGACTCGTTGGGCATGGTGGCTTACACCTATAATCTCAGCACTTTGGGAGGCCAAGGTGAGAGGATTTCCTGAACCCAGGAGTTTGAGACCAGCCTGGGCAGCTTGGCGAGATCTCATCTGTACAATAAATCAAAAAATTAGCCAGGTATGATGGCGCATGTCTGTAGTTCCACCTACTTGGAAGGCTGAGGTGGATGGATCGCCTGAACCCAGCAGGTTGAGGCTGCGGTGGCCGTGAGTGTGCCACTGCCCTCCAGCCTGGGCAATAGAGTGAGACTCCGACTCAAAAAAAAAAAAAAAAATCTCGACTCCACTATAAGAAATAAAGGACTCTTGTGGGGACTGCACCCTGCACAGGGTGGCCTTGGATCAGAGGAACCCATGAGAACTGGTGTCCATGGTCCTTGAGGCAGGACCATGTGTGGTCCTAGAGACCAGCATTTTTCCACCTTGATGGTATATGCACACTACACGTGCACATGTTCCTGGGAGTCCTGTCTTGTGCACACTCTCTGCACAACTGGTCGGTTGACCAGCTCTGCATTTCCAGCCAGCTCTGGTGCAACCTGGGCAGTCAGATGTGAGGCCTCAGGCTGGGGTGGGCCGTCGGGTCAGTGAGCAGGGCTCAGGAGGGCATTTGGCGCATGGGTACCTTCTGGGGGAAGTGGCAGGAATTCTGCCTTGGATGTGTGGGTCCCAGGTGGAGATGATGGTTGGGAGTCATGAAACCCAGGGAAGAACACTCTGTGCTTGGGCAGACAGGAGGAGCCAGCTAGGGTGGGAGTTTCCAGGAGGTAGAGTCAAGAGTGGCCTTGAAAAGGTCATGCCAAGCCGGGCTCGGTGGCTCATCCTGTCATCCCGCGCCTTTGGGAGGCTGAGGTGAGTGGATGGCCTGAGCCCGCGGGTTCGAGACCTGCCTGGGCAGCAAGACCTTATCTCTACAATAAATCAAAAAATCAGCCAGGCGTGGTAGCGCATGCCTGTAATTCCGGCTACTCGGAAGGCTGAGGGGAAAGGATCGCCGGAGCCCAGCAGGCGAGGCCGCGGTGACCGGGAGCACCCACTGCACTCCAGTCCGGGTGACAGAGTGAGACTCCAACTCAAAAAAAAAAGAAAGAAAAGTCATGCCAGGGTGTGGTCAGGCACCAGTGGGGTTGTGTGGGTGACCTTGAGATTAGGTTATGTGCAGCAGGTGTGGCCTGGGTCCGGGGGACTTGGGAGCTTGAGAGGAGAGGACATAGCGACAACCTCCAGGGATTCACATCAGGGTGAGGGGCTGTCAGCAGAGACTGGAGGCATGTGAGTAGAGATGAGGTTTGCTATCAACAGGTGTGATCAGGTGGGGAAGCAGGTGGTTCTAGAGAGTTGCTGGGTACAGGCCCAAGTTGGAGGGTGGCCTCTGCTGGACTCAGCCTCCTGATGTGCTGGCGAGAGTAGCATGTAGTGGCGTTGGCTGCGTGAGGGGTGTCTGGCACTAGTCAGGCGGGGCGTGGAGGGGTGGGTCTGGGCCTGTACCAGGCTGGAGAGGCACTGCGGAGGGTTGGAGTGGGCCCCGGAGGGCGAGGTCAGTAGGGGGCCGAGCCTGGGAGTTGGTGTGGCCTGGAGAGGGCAGCAGGATATGGGACTGGTGGACACGGGGCAAGACTTGAGGAGTCGTGCTATGGAGATGACCATCTCTTTCCCCTTTCTGTGTTGATGTAGGTGGCTATTATCATGGAAAACTAATTTTTCCCAGAGAATTTCCTTTCAAACCTCCTAGTATTTATATGATAACTCCCAATGGAAGATTTAAGTGCAACACCAGGTAAGGCACTCGCAGGTGCTGCGGCATGTCGGGGGGGCTGTCTGAGCACAGGAGTGGCTCTCTGGGCATGCAGGGGCCACATGGGGATGTGCACTCACCGACGTAGCCCTGTTTGCAGGCTGTGTCTTTCCATCACGGATTTCCACCCGGACACGTGGAACCCAGCCTGGTCCGTCTCCACCATCCTGACCGGGCTGCTGAGCTTCATGGTGGAAAAGGGTCCCACCCTGGGCAGTATAGAGACGTCAGACTTCACGGTGAGGCCTAGGGAGTGCCCTCGCCCGGGGTCCCTGTGTCTGGGCTGTGCTGTTCCTGAGGCACAGCACAGAGTTCCCACTGGGTCCCTGTGTCCCACCACCGTCACAGGTGCTTGATACACCCTGGGTCTCATGTCCCCCTCGAAGTCCTGCTTTCTACCCACTTTTGGCTTCGTCTGCCAGGACCTGCTGTCCACACCACTGGGGTCTTCCTCAGGGTCTCAGGGTGGTCTACGGCAGTGCCACCTTCAGACTGTGTGGGCCTCAAAGCCAGGAGCCGCATGCCTTGCTGTTAGAGTTCTTTCCCTTTCTGTGTGTGTGGGTTTTTTGTTTTTTTTTTTTGAGTTGGAGTCTCACTCTCGCTCAGGCTAGAGTACAGTGGCACACTCAAGGCCACTGCAGTCTTGACTTGCATGGCTCAGGCAATCTTTCTGCCTCAGCCTTCCAAGTAGCTGGAACTACAGATGTGTGCTAATATTTGATTTATTGTAGAGACACGAGGTCTTGCCAAGTTGCCCCGGCTGGTCTCGAACCCTCGGGCTCAGGCAGTTCACTCACTTTGGCCTCCCAAAGTGCTGGAATTGCAGGCTGAGCCACCAAGTCCAGCCCCTTTCTGTGTTTTTTTAAAAGATTGTTACTTTTTTTTTTTTTTTAATAGAGATGAGGTCTCACTGCGTTGCCCTGGCTGGTCTTGAACTCCTGGGCTCCCAAAGCGCTGGGATTACAGGCTTGAGCCACTGTACCTGGCACCTGTGTAAAATAGAAGTTAAGTTTCCTATCACTAGTTGGTGGTGAAAAGAGAAGGAAGCCTCTGTGAGACTCAGCTGCTTTTGTAAAGAACAAGCTCATTAAGTGCCTTCTGAGACACGTGGCAGCCCTTGACTTGAAAATCACCTGTTGGTAGAATTTTGAAAGAATAGAAGTTAATTTTCTGACCGATAGTTCCCTTCTCTTTCTTCCTAGAAAAGACAGCTGGCAGCGCAGAGTTTAGCATTTAACTTAAAAGATAAAGTCTTTTGTGAATTGTTTCCTGAAGTCGTGGAGGTAAGAAAGTGAAAACTGGAAGTTAATTTGCCTATCCTAGCAGTACAGACACTTTTAGTTTCAATTCTTCCCAAAGAGAAACTGTCCTCGAGTGACGGCCAGCCCTCCCCAGGCTGTGGAGCACAGAGGGTGTGCCCCTGCCTCAGCGTGCCCGCGACCTTGGGGTACCCATGCCATTGGGTGTCCATGCCCTTGGAGTGCCCACACTTCCGGGTTCACACTAACAGGGGCTGCTGCAGACCATAACTTTCTCCAGAGTCCCCAGGGCAGGAGGAGCAGAAGGCCTGGCACAGAGTAGAGGCCCCAGGACAGATTTGCAGCTTGAGTAGGGCCTGGGCCAGTCCCCACATGGACATGGAGCTTGCTGGCCTGAATGGCACTTGGGTGGGCTGCCAGGGTCTAGGTGGCCCGGAGTGGACAGGAGGCATGTCAGCTGCCTTGAGCTGTGGGGACTGGAGTGTTCCTGAGAAAGTGGGCCACAGTGGGGAGGCTGTGGTGGCTCAGGGCTGTGGGCAACTCGCTGGGTCCCCTTACGTGAGGTGTGGTCAAGTCCTGAGCTTGCCTTGGGTGTTGAGATTTGGCCATGCAGAGCCAGATTTGAGGATGCGCCTGGGCTTCTGAGCATGGGTGCAATCCTGAGCGGGGTGGGTTTGACCAACAGCCATTTCTCGCTGTTTCTTTCTTAGGAAATTAAACAAAAACAGAAAGCACAAGATGAACTCAGTAGCAGACCCCAGGCTCTCCCCTTGCCAGATGTGGTTCCCGACGGGGAGACGCACCACGGCCAGAATGGGGTCCCGCTCCTGCATGGGCATGCGCCAGGGGCCGGCCCCAACCTCGCTGGGCTCCAGCAGGCCAACCGGCACCACGGACTCCTGGGTGGGGCCCTGGCGAACTTGTTTGTTATAGTTGGGTTTGCAGCCTTTGCCTATACGGTCAAGTACGTCCTGAGGAGCATCGCACAGGAATGAGGCACGCCAGGACCCGTGGTTGCTGCTGAGGGATGCCAGGCATGAACCTGACGTGGGCAGGCTAGACACACTGCTGAGCACGAGCGGACCTGCTGGACTCCTGGGTGTAGCCTGTTAACAGGAAAGCAACAACCAAAATGCGCAGTTCAGATGTGGGGAGACTCGGGACTCTCGGCCCCTCTTCCGGCCTGGTGTCGGGGCTGGTGGGCCGTCTCCTGTGTTGTCTTTGGACCTGTTTTAGTAAACCTGTTTTTCATTTTGTTAGATTTGATCACTTAAAAATATAAAACCCAATGCCTATCATTGCTCTGCGTGCATTCTTGGTGAAGCTCCCGGGCTTGCCCCGGTGCCTGGTGGTGAGGCTGGTGCCAGTGCTGGCAAGTGTTGGTTGGACCACGCGGTGACGCAGCTTAGCAGGGCCGTAGACAGGGATCCAGGAGACCAAGTCTTTGGTCTCAGCATTTTTTTTTGGCAGTGGGGGAGGGGGTTGGAATCTCACCCTGTTGCCCAGGCTGGAGTGCAGTGGCACAATCATGGTTCCGGTGAGCCTTCTGCCTCACCTCTTGAGTAGCTGGGACTACAGGTGCACACCACCGTCTCCAGCTAGTTTTTTTGTAGAGATGAGGTCTTGCTATGTTGCCCCAGCTGGTCTCAAACTCCTGGGCCCAAGCAGTCCTTGACCTCTGCCTCCCAAGTGCTGGGATTACAGGTATGAGCCTGTACGCCCAGCCTTGGTCTCAGCATTTTAAAATGTGTTTATGGTCAGGTGGAACAAAACAGAGTTCTAGAAACTGCTTGATTTTTGTTTATTTACTTACTGATTTTGGTGAAACAGAAGCTAAGAACCTGCTTGCTCTGACCACAAGGTGTCGTCCTTTGTTAAGCTGTACCGGGTGGAGATGTGGCCCTGCCCTTGAGGAGACAGTCCCTGAGCTGTCCTCGGTGCCGTCCCAGTCTGGCCTCCTCAAGTTCCTCCCACGCCACAGGGTTGGGGTCCTTGGGTGCTCACAGAGCCTTCCTCCAAGGCCAGAAGCCCATCCTGGCGGGTGGAGACCCCAGGTTCCTGCAGGGACCGCTTCAACGACTGCCTGGTTCTGTGCACTCCCTCGACTTTGAAGGTAGGTACCAAGCTCCTGCCCTGACGGCGTCAGTGTTCATGCTTCACAGAAGGCCGCAGAGGGAAGCCTAGGAGACCCTGTCCCCGTGAGTGTCAAAGCCGGGTGGGCTTGGTTTGGGAACCGGCGACTCCCTGGACTGCTGACGTTCTCTGTTGTGCTTGCCAGTTCCACCTGCTCAGGGTATTTTGAAGATCTGTCACGTGGCATGAACATCTTGGTCTGTGTGTGTGGGGGGTGGCCACTTATCCAGGGGCAGGTGTGAGCTGAAGCGTGGCCAATGTGTGTTCATCTCTGACTTTGCTTTTTGGTCAGTTTATTTGCAGTTGCTCTGTGACTTACAACTTGTATGTATTTAACCCACTCGTGTGAAAAAAAAATCTTTCCTGATATCTTTGTTCCCAAGCAGTAAGCTGTTTGTGTCTGTGTTGGTGGATATGGGTGATTCTGGTGGCTCAGGGTGAGGGTGCTCTGTGGGCGGGGCCACATCTGCCAGCATGGGACAGGTGGGTCCCCACAGCTGGGGCCCTGGGCCTGCCTGCGTGGAGCTGTAGGCGGAGCTATGTGGGCTCCTGGGCAGCTCCTGTGCTGGGGCCTGGTACACGGGCGTGTTCGTGACCATCAGGTCAGGGCCCACCCTGATTTCCAAAGGCTCTGGGGAGGCAGAGTGGTAGCAGTTGTGGCACTCTCTTGACATGCATCCATTCTTGTCTGTATGTGATGTCTCTGCTTTGACCACCTTGGCTAGCGAGGACCCTGGGGTTCCCGTGGCATGGTGCCTGTGCTGGCTGAAATAAAAGATTATTGGTTTTTTTTGTTGTTTTGAGTTGGAGTCTCACTCTCTTGCCCAGGCTGGAGTGCAGTGGCACACTCATGGCCACCCCAGCATCCACCTGCTGGGCTCCGGTGATCCTTTTGCCTCAGCCTTCCAAATAGCCAGAACTACAGGTGCGTGCTACCATGCCTAGCTTTTTTTTTTTTTTTTTTTTTATTGTAGAGATGAGCTCTCACCAAGTTGCCCAGGCTGGTCTCGAACTCATAGGCTCAGGCAGTCTACTCACCTCGGCCTCCCAAAGTGCTAGGATTACAGGCTGAGCCACCAAGCCCGGCCAAAGATGATCTCTGGCCAGCTGGGCCAAGCGCGTCTGTCCTTTTGTCCATGTTGTCTTAGTGGGGTGTGGGCCCCCCTTTCTAGTGTGGCATCACTGGTGGGGGACAGCTAAATGTCCCTGACCCCCCTCCTGGGCATGCAGTCGTCCTCTTGCTGTGCTGGCCAGGCTGCAAGATCTGTTCTAGTGGGGAAAGCAAGCCCCTTAAATGTTCATGTCCCGGCCAGACGCAGTGGCTCATGCCTATAATCCCAGCACTTTGGGAGGCTAAGGTGAGAGTATTGCCTGAGCCCACAAGTTCGTGACCAGCCCGGACAACTTGGTGAGACCTCATCTCTACCATAAATAAATAGGGCATGGTGGCACATGCCTGTGGTTCCAGCTACTCGGGAAGCTGAGGTGGAAGGATCATCTGAGCCCAGCAGGTCGAGGCTGTGGTGGCTGTGAGTGTGTCACTGCCCTCCAGCTTGAGTGACAGAATGAGACTCCCACTCAAAAAAAAAAAGCTTGTGTCCCATGGACACATGGCGTGGGGCCCTAGGATACAGTCACCAGCCCTCGTGGCAAGAGGGGCCTGGGCTTGGGGGAGCTGCTCTCCCTGCCAGTGGGTGGTGGGTGCCCTGCCTGGGGGATGCAGTGTGCTGTGCCCTGGGGATCCTGGTCTTGTTTCTCCAGTGCTCAGAGCTGGCGGGTGTCTGGGGGCTGTGGAGGGGTAAGCGGAGCCTGCGCCTTCCCGGAGACGGCACCTGCTTGGGCCAGGGTCCCTGTGACTTTGGTGGGCGACTCCAGAGGGTTGGAACCTTCTGGAAGTTTTCCAGAGGGAGTGTTGGGGAGGGGACGCTGAGGGCAGGCTGCAGGGCACTGGCCGAGTGGCTTCCACTGGGTGTGGGGACAGGAACAGGAAACCGTGTCCTTCCCACCCTTGGGTGCAGGGAGACCTGGGTGACCCTGTCATGGCTACTGGGCCCCTGGTCCAGCCTCCCAGGCTGTCTTCCATTGTTCTTCCTATGGGACAGTTGGAGACCCAACCTGTCTGGAGTCACAGGGAAGCATATTGTCATTGGGTGATGTAGCAAAGTGGGGTGCCCCGTCAGGGAGTTAGGGTCTGTTGTCCTGGGTGGGGTCTCCTAGGCTGAGGCCCTTACCTCCCCCTCTCCCGAGCCTGCGTGAGGGGTGCAGGGGCCGCCTTTCCCAGCCCCTGCTGGCTGTGGTCCTGTCTAGGGCTTGGTGTGCCAGGTCCCGCAGGGTGGGGCGTGGGCAGCCCCTAGTCCCGGCATCTGGCTCACTGGGAAACACAGACTGCAGACACTTCTGCAGGGTCTGAGGCACCACCATGCACTCACTCTGCAGACCCCAGAATCGCCTTCTGTTGTCCGAGGGGACACTTCTGCGGAGGGCGAGGGGACTGGCGGCTCCCCGGCAGGCCCTTCCTGCACCTCTTTCTGCCCTGCCCTGCCTGTAGATGTGGCCTGGGCCCAGGGACTCTGGCCGGGCCGCTGTCACCCTTCTCTGCTGATGTCTGGGAACTGGGGAGGCCTGGAGCACAGGGTGCCCCCTCCTGTTGCTTCAGGGCAGGCCACTGATGCTGGCTGCTCTAGCCTTGGCGCCGAGCAGCGGCTGGGGGGTTGGCTCAGGCTTCCAGCCCCCTACTTGTGGCCACTGAGCCCAAGGGGCCTGTGGTGCTCCAGGCTCCTGCCCTTCCTTCTGGCATTGAGGACCCTATGCAGGGCGGGGCCCCAGGCGATCCTGGCTGGGGTGGGTCGTGGGAAGGGGCCTGTGTGGCCTGCTGGTGGGCAGCATGGCTGTCTGGAGCAGAGTACCCACTCTGGCCCTGGCCACCCTCTGCAGGGCCGGCGGGAGAGGAGCCAGCCGGGACCGGGGTGGGAGGAGGGTACCTGTGTGCATGGTTCCCAGGGTAAGTGGGACCTTGGGGAATGGTGGGAAGCAGGGTGTTTCTGGAGGGTCAGGAGGGCTGGGGAGGGAAGCGCAGCCCTCCGCAGCCTAGCCCACCCTCCTGAGAAGAGCTGACAGGGTCAGCAGGGGTCCCGCCCCGTTCCGCCCCCTGCTCTCAGGGCTCATTGGAGTGTGAGCCCGCCCCTTGCAGCCCGCCCGGTTTGGGGGGAGGGCTTATCTGGTGGCTGAGCGAACGGGTTGGGGCGCAGTACTAGGGAGGCCAGCAAGGCCTGACGCGACTGGAGGGCCGACCGGAGCGGACCGAGCCGGGACGCCGTGGGACTAGACGCCCTTGTGCTGTCGTGTGGTGCTGCTGCTGCTGGGGCTGGTCTGCACACAGACGTGCGCCAGCGTCAGGGCGCACCCCCGGGCCTTGCCCCCGCATGGGGGTTCTGAGCGGCGCCTCAGGAGCGCCTGGCCCTGCGCTGAGCTGCCGGGACGAGCCATGCGGTGCTGGGCCTGGGCTGCCACTGTGACGCTCCTCTGCCTGCAGCTCACGTTCCTCCAGGGTGTCAGGGCCCGCCGGGAGCCCAAGAGGCTACGGCCACCGGGACAGCACACTGAGGCCCCCAACGCCACCACGACTGCCAGCGACAGGCTGCCCAGTGCCCCCCAGGTACGCAGTGGCCACATGTGGCTGCATGGGGGTGGGCCTGTGGCCAGAGGCGAAGCCCCTCCTGGCTCTGGCTCTCACAGGTCGCCCCAATGGGTTCCATCCACCTTGAGGGAATCCCCTGCACCCTCTTTCCGCCCCCTGCTTGCAGCCTTTGGGGAGCTTCCTGCTGAGCCGGGGGAGGTGTGGGGAAGGGGGCGCTTCCAGGGGAGGCTGCAGAAAGCCCTACGAAGCCCCTGAAGATGGCTCCCCGCCCTACGTGGGAGCCCTGGGCCCCACGGTTCTGCATGGTCAGCTGGCCCCTGTGCTTCTGGGATCCTGGGTACCCAGTGCCCCCTCGCATGCAGAGTGCCGTGTCCTTGGCGCTTCCAGGCCCAAGCCTGTTCAAGGGTCCTCTTGAGGGTGGCAGACGCCCACACCCACCTCAGCCCTGGGCTCTGCTCTCTGGGGCAGAGGGTCTCTAGAGGGACTTGGCACACAGTCCATGGGGCCTCTTGCTGCTGCAGCCCAGCCCCAGACCAACGGGAGGTGCGGTTGCCTGGCAGCGGCCCCCGCCCTGGCGCCTTTGATCCCAGCCTCCCTCCTCCCAAGGGCGTCTCCACGACGGCCGGCCCACGCAGCCCCACTGGAGCCCACAGCTCTGTTTTCCAGATGCCACGGCCGCAGAGAGGAGACCACAACTCCATCAGCCGAAGGAGGCTGGGCTGGGGCCAGTTGAGGGCCAGGGGAGGGGAGGAAGCGCCCACTTGTCAGGGCTGCCCCTCCTGAGGCAGGACAGGGACTGACGGGAGGGCCCTCTGTGGACGGGTGTGGGCTGCAGGCTCCCGGCGCCGGAGGTCTCCTGCTCCCCGCTGCCTCAGCCCTTGACCCAGGGTGGTGGACACACATGGCCCTCCAGGCCCTTGGATCCCTCCTGCGTGTCGGGGGAGGTGGCAGCCGGGGGCAAGCAGATAGCAGATGCCTGTTCCCAGACCCCCGGGTAGAGGCCGTCGTGTCCACTGGGAAGGGCCTGCTCCAGAACCCACTCGACCATGTTGGGACGGGATGGCCTGGCTGGGGTTCCCTGGTTCGCCTTACCTTACCCTGGGGAGGGGCTCTCCCCCACGGCCCTGCAGCATGAGACCTTCGCCTCTAGCTATGTGGGCTTCTGCCACTGCCCCCGGCACTGGGGTAGAAACTAGGCTTGAGAGGGGACGAAAGTAGGGCTGGGGGTGGCAGGGGCCAGGGCAGATCTACCTGGCTCCACCTGGCCCCGGCTGGCAAAGGGGATGCCAGCCTGACGGCCCGAACCTGGGCTGAGGAGTCAGGCAGGCTGGGGGCAGGCCGTCGGTTGGACCGCGCAGCCCCAGCTTGGAGCAAGGCCTTGCCTATTGCCTCCTGGCACCAGCCAGCCGTGTCGCCTAGCGCTGTCTCTGGGACTCAGAAAGGGCTCCAGAAGACTCGCTCCTGGCTTTGTCCACGGAGGTCCTGGGCCTTGCCCCACCTGTGCCCCTGACCTCAGGACGCCCATGCTCTGAGTCCTCCGGGGAACCCTGCCAGTCCTTCTGGCCTGTGGTGCCCGGAGGCCCGCCCACCCCCCTGAGGTCTCCAGCTCTCTGCTAGGCACAGTGGGACAGGGCCCAGAAGGACCCTGCGGTCAGTGCACCATCCCTGGCCCTGCAGCCACCCAAGACCTCGGGACCTGAGTTCTCAGATGCCCACGCGACGTGGCTGAGCTTTGTCCGGCGGCCAAATGATGGGGCCTTGAGGAAGCGGTGCCGAGGCCGGGACAAGAAGTCGGTGAGACCCTGGGCCACTGTGGGGCCCTCTCAGGGGTGTGGACTCAGGGCAAGGGTGGCCTGCCGCCCACTGGGTCCACTAGGACCCTCACTTTGTCACTTTTTTCTTCTGTTCCCCTAGCGGGGGCTCTTGGGTCCCCCAGGGCCTCCTGGCCCCCCTGGGCCCCCTGGACTCCCCGGTGCCGAGGTCACCCCGGAGGCCCTGCTGCGAGAGTTTCAGGAGATGCTGAAAGGTGAGACCTCCAGGAGGCCCTGCCCAGGGTTAGGGGCCCGACCTTGGGTGACCCCCGCTGGCTGCTGTGCCTGCTCCCTGCAGAGGCCGCCGAGCACCGGTTCCCTGGGCTGCTGGATCCACCGCTGCCCCAGGGGCTGGGCCTGCAGCTGGTGGCCGAGGCCTTCCACTGCCAGCTAAAGGGCCCCCAGCTGGTAGACAGGAGGACGCTGGCGGAGCTGCAAGGCTTCCAGGCTGTGAGTGGGGGCCAGGGACTGGGGTGGGGCTGTGAGGCCCCGGGTGGGTCCCAGGTTCCTCTGGGGTCAGCCCCCACAGGTATGGGCCAGGGCTGGGATGCTGGTTGGGCCCCCACTGGCAGGCTGAGCACAGACACCACAGTCATAGGGCACTTGAGGGCAGGGCCTGTGTCTTCAGCAGCTGCTAGAGTGCAACTGGGTGACTGAGTACAGGGGGTGGGACTGCTTAGGTCCAGGTTGGCCCAGACCCCACCGTACGTCAAGATAGAGTGTACATCCGAACGGGGACCGGGAGGCAGCAACCCAACCTGAGGGCCTGGGCGCCCGGGGCCGGTGCCTGAAGCCCATGTGGTGTGGGCACAGGGGCAGCCCTGTCCCGCCCATGCCAGAGCCAGTCCAGGGATGGCCTGCTCCAGCGCAGTGGGACAGGCACCTTTCCCAGGCTGAGTGTGGCGAGGGTCCAGGCTCTGCAGCCAGCCACTCACCCGCTGCCCCTCACAGCCCACGGCACAGGGTGCCTTCCTGAGGGGGTCTGGCCTGAGCCTGGTGTCCAGCCGATTCACAGCCCCGGTGTCCGGCATCTTCCAGTTCTCTGCCAGCCTGCACGTGGGTGAGCAGGGTGTGGGGCAGAGTTGCCCTGCTGGGGCCCCTGTCATTCCTGGCTCCCGCCTGGGCCCGGTGAGAGAGATGCCACCCACTCCCCTGGAGGCCTGGGGGGTGTTGGGCCCCAGCGGTGCTTGGGGCCTCAGGTCCACCCTCTCTGCCCTGGCAGCCACTGGGGGCCTGCTGTGGGCCGCGCACCCTGAAGCCCCCTCCCCATCCCCCACAACCCGCCCTCGCGAGCGCTGTCTCTGCAGACTGCAGCGAGCTTCAAGGCCGGCCCCGGCCACGGGCCCAGGACGCGGTGCGCGTGCTCATCTGCATCGAGTCTCTGTGCCATCGCCACACGTGCGTGAGCCTCACCTGTCGGCCACGGGCCTCGGGCTGGGGTCCCCTGCCTGCAGGGCTTGGGGTGCTGGGGTGTGTGGGGTGGGTGAGAGCCACTCTCACCTGGCCCTGTGTGATGTCAGGTCGCTGGAGGCCATGTCGGGCTTGGGGACCAGCAGCTGGGTCTTCACAGCACAGGTGCAGGGGCTGCTGCAGCTGCAGGTGAGGCAAGGGAAGCAGGAGCGGACGGCCGGTCCCGGGTGTGTTGGGGCTGTGAGGGCCTCTGAGCCTTGGCCTGGTGTGAGTGGGGTGGATGTCGGCCTCAAGTGACCATGCCGCACGGTGGTGACGAGTGCGCTTGCAGGCCGGACAGTATGCCTCTGTGTTCGTGGACAACGGCTCTGCGGCGGCGCTCACCATCCAGGCCGGCTCCAGCTTCTCCGGGCTGCTCCTGGGTGCGTGAGGACCCCATCCCACACCTGTGTCACCGCAATAAAGAGCCTCAGCCTCTCTGCTGCCCTCGGGGCTGTCTGCTCATTGCCTTGGTGGGAGGTGGCGGCCAGGGCTGGGCAGGGGCAGGGGGTGCTGTCTCCACGCGGCTAGAGCTCCACGTGCAGGGGTCGGCCAGAGGAGCAGACACGCCTCCCTGGAGGCTCTCACAGACCTGTCGGCAGTGGTGGGGCCTGGGGAGGCAACTGGGCCCTGTCGGCAGTCCCTGTGCCTGTGGGGCCTGGTTACCCCAGGACCGGGACACCTGTCTCTGCAGGTCCCTGCACAGCCCTACCCCTGGCCTGGGCCAGCCCCTCCCTCGCCCCAGCCTGCCCAGCCTTGGGTGTCGCAAGCTGTGCTACCCCAGACCCACTCAGCCGTGGGCACCAGAAGTATCAGAGCTGGACTAGGAGTTGGGGGCAGCCCTGAGTGGTGGGAGGGTCAGGCGGGGCCCAGGAGGCTGTGTCCCATGGGGAGGCTGTGTCCTGCATTCTGTCCTGTGGACATACACTGGCCACAGCCAGGGGCCAGGGCAGGAGGTGTGCAGGCCTCTCTGGTGTGGAGCTAGAGGACGTCCGTGGCTCCAGGGTATCCAGGACTTGCACTGCAGCTGGCCCAGGCCTGCCTAACTGAGCAGGGAGGCACCAGTGTGAGGGCTTCCCGCTTGCCCCCCCACCCCGGCTTCTGCCATGACGGCCCCATCCCAAAGACCAGGGCCCTGAAGGCGGGTGGATGGAGCATCCAGCTCTCTGCAGGCTGTACCCTGGAGGCTGAAGCCCACCCTGAGGACCCAACAGACGGGGTCCTGTGGAGTTGGCCACACCCTGTTTGGGCTCCAGCAAGCTCAGTCCAAAGAATGCACGTTGGCCTCCGGACATCTGGCCTCTGCAGAGCTACCAAGATACAATCTGTGGTTGGCATCGGGCCGGGCAGGTGGCAGTGGCTTCCGGCCTTGACTCCTCCGCAGGTGCCCAGGGGGGTGGGGCGCGGCTTGGCTCCATGGCAGCTCCTGGTGACTCTGTGGCAGCTCGGTGGCAGCGGGGCCTGCAGATGCCGCTTCCATGGATGAGCAGGGAGGCCTCCCCGCCCTGGACCAGGCTCGTCTCCCAGAGGGGAGGCCAGACGGGGTACAGGGGAGAGCAGGGCTCTGGACAGAGCCCACAGTGGTCAGCTCTCCCCTGGGACCTTGGCCTGTCAGGGGCCACGGAAGTTCCCTTTCCTGGGCCTGCCAGGTATGGGTGCTGGCAGGTGCTGGCAGTGTGGTGCCGGCTTGCCCAGCCCCCTCTCTGCCCCCCAGTGTGGCGTCGGGGCAGGGCTATCTGCAGACTCTCCTTCATTTGTCACGGCCACAACCCCCAGCCTGGCGATGGGGTATTCCCACAGCCACCAGGGCTGGGAGGGGACTCCATGGGGAAGGATCAGCCTCCCCTTCCAGCGCCCAGGCCAAAGGTGACGGTCTGGCAGGGAGGCCCCCCTGCCTTGCCGGTCACAGCTTCCTCCGGCCGAGGTCTGGAGCCCTGGGGCCTCTTCTGCAGGCCCAGCCCTGCTCAACCGGAACACCAGTCAATGCCCACCTGCAGAGTAAGCAGGGCCACTGCCCTCCACCAGGGGAAACTGAGGTCCAGGGCCGCCTGAGGAGGCAGAGCTGGGGCCTGCACCTCCCTGGTCTGCACAGCCCGGAGAGCACGAGCCTGGCAACGGAGACACCTGCCTTTGCTTCGGGCCCTCCGGCTCCTTCTCCTGCCTGGCTGGGCCCGGCCCGCCCCTCCTCGAACCCCCTCTCAAGCACTGCCCAGAGCAGGCCGGGATGAGGCAGCGCCCACCAGACGCCCGCTGGGCCAGGGCCTGGCTGCACAGGTGGGTCCCCGACGGTGCTTCAATAGCAGTCGCCTGGCTGGAGGGGAGTGAGTGATGACAGGCGGAGACCCAGAAAACAGGACCCTGGGCCGTGCAGGGAGACAGGCTGAGACCAGATGAGAGACGAGGAGACAGGGAGGAGCAGGCAGGGAGCCAGAGCCAGGCGTCTGGGCGCAGACTCCGCCGGCCTGTCTGGCTCCCCTGTCCCGGCTCTGTGCCTCATCAGGGTCATCAGCCACTTAGCTGGAATTCCCCTGGAATGTGCATCTCTGCTGGCCGTGGCTGGGGGCCCCGGAGGAGGGAGCGGGTGGGCGGCTGCAGAGGGTCCAGGCTTCCCAACCAGCCCCTGCACCTGGCATGGAGGACACAGGCTGCCCGACCTCAGCCTGGATGGGCTTCCCTTCCAGAGTCAGCCGGGGATGACATGTTTGCCGTGGAGGCCCTGGGCTTGGGAGGTGGGGGAAACACCTGTTGCTCACCCAGCCTGAGCAGGGGTCTGGGGCAGGAAGGCCGGCTGGGGAGGGAAGCCCAGGGCGGTGAGCTGTCTCCCACCCTGGATGTCCCAGGTTTAGAGCTGGGCCACTTATGGCTCAAGCATCCACACTGTCCCAGCCCCAAGGGGCCAGAGCCAGAACGGCCAGCACAGGGGTGGTTGGCCCAGGTTGACCCCGACCCCTGCCTTGCCTGGGGTCGCTCTGGCAGGAGCTGCTGGCTGTCCTTGGTCACCACCCCCAACATGACTTCCCAGAACCTCAGGCTGGCCCGCTGCCTGCAGACATCCTGGGAGGGGCCATGTCTCCCATAAAGACCTCCTCTGGCCCAGTTCCCCAGCCCTGGTCTCAGGCTGCAGCCTGGCTGGACCTGACCAGCCCTCCTGGCACCAAGGCCCTGGCCCAGCGCCCTTAGGGACTGTCCTGGGATTGAACATGATGGGAAGGTGAATGTCCTGTGGCCCCCAGAAGGTTGTCACGGGGTCTGGAGCAGCCTCTCAGTGGCCAGCCTGAGGGGCAGCAGGACCCAGGGACAGGGCTCCCAGCTGTGGGCAGGAGGCTGGCTGGCCCGTCAGGTGTGGACATGTCAGCCTGAATGTCCCCTCTGTGTTGGCGTGTGTGGGAGGGTTGCCCTCCCTGGCCTGACCCGGGGCGCCTGGGTGTGAACCCTGGGGTTGCAGCCGGGACAAGCTGGCCCCAGGAGCCAGGATCTGGTTAATCCCGCAGTGCCTGTGGCTGGGGGCACCTGTCAGCCTGAGGATGTTCACGCAGGTGCTCCTGTGGGCCACCCAAGGCCAGACCACATGCCCTGACTCATCACCAGGGTTGAGGACCATGAGTGGCCTGGGTGCTTGGGGACACATGGGGCTGAGTGGGGCTATGTAGGCATGTCTGGGGTCCAAACCGATGTGTCTGTGCCCTTTTTTCCAAATCTGCATGTGCCCTGGCGTCTTGTTTTGATGGCTACATGTCCATGAGGGTGGCATTTGGGGTGGGTGGTCTCTGTCCATGAAGGTGGCGTGTGCCAGGGGTCTCTGCTTGTTCATGAGGGTGGTGTGTGGCAGGGGTCTCTGTGTGTCTGTCGGGGGGGCATGCAGTGGGGTCTCTGTGTGTCTGTGAAGGTGGCGTGTGGCCTGGTCTCTGTGTGTCCACGGGACTGCCCCGGGACAGGACTCTGAAGAGCCAGAAGCAACAGGCCTCTTTGGAGCAGGTATCCAGGGCCTGGGCCAGAGCGCTTGGCAGCCAGTGTTCTCAGGAATGGCAGTGGCCAGGGTCCTTGGTGTCAGAGAGGCCCAATGGCTGGGCCCAAGGGATATGCCAGGCCCAGGCCTCGAGTGGACCCACTGAACGGCTGCCCTGGCACTGGGGCTCCGGTTCTGGAAAGAAGATCCCGGGGTGGCCGCGGGAGACTCCCGGTATCTGTGGCCGCCTCCCTGCTTCTGTCCGGGGCCAGCTGTGGTCAGGGCCTAGCTGGCTGGAGTTGGGGCCAAACCAGCAGCTGTGTCCTGGGGCCTTGTTCACTGACTGGGCTTGGCCAAGCTGCCCTTGGGACTCCCAGCTCAGGCTACTCTGAGCTATGGGAGCCCAGGGTCTGGCAGCCGGAGTGTCCCAAAGCCCGGTGTTCTCGGCCTGGCCCTGGAGTGACATCAGCTCAGCCTGGGCAGCATGTCTGGGTGTCAAACACACCCCTGACCCTGCCATCAGCAGTTCTGTCTGCCTGTGTGCCTGACGGTGGCCCAGGTAGGCCTGGCACGGAGGGCTTGGGGACAAAGGGACTTTGTTTGGGAGGATGGGGCAGCCCCCACCCCGGAATGGTGACTCACAGCACCAGTGTTGCAACAGCTGATGTGTCATGCGTGTGACCTGGCTAGGCAGAGCCTCCTGCCCACGCCTGTGCCCATGGCCCTCGGGGCTGCTCTGCTGGGCCCCAGGTGTGTGGGGGGAGATGACAGCAGCATTGTACCAGGGAGGCCAAGCAAAGCCGTCGCCAAAAGGAAGCGTCTCAATGGAACCTGGCGCCCTCTCCTGGCCTCCTGATCCTGGAGGCCCCCCCCGCTGGGCAGGCCAGCCTAGGAGCCACAGGGAATCCCGTCCCAGGCCTGTTCCTGCTGCCACCCAGGAGGTTGCAGGACGCCCTCAGCAGCAGGACACACTGGGGCTGGATGGGGTGTTGCCTGGCCATTGCTCTGGGGCCACATGCAGCTGCTCTGGGACTGGGGGTTCCACAGGGTCTGTCTGGAGGCAGAGGGCGGCACTGGAACCCTCTGTTGCCACTGGCAGGTACGTGGGCCTGGCTCTGGCCATCCATCATCCCCGGGGATCAGAGGCGGCGAGGCATGGGGTCTGGGGGAGGCTGGGCCAGCCGAGACCCTCAGACGCCACTGTGGGGACGGGCCGGGGCTTGGGTTTCCTTCTCCTTGGGTCACTGGGCGAGGTCAGGCCTCAGGTCAGCGGGGAGGCAGAGTAGGACTCTGGCCCCACCGGGGCTCCTGTCCTGCGGAGCGGGCCTTGAGGCCCTGCCGCCTGTGGCACTTACACGGTGGTGCTTACCCTGGGGGATGAGGCTGCCGGGCACCCTGAGGCCCAGCTTCTCAGCCGAGAGCTTCCTCACCGGCCCCTCCCCGGTGTACTTCCTCAGTCCAAGGGCGCCAGCCAGCCCTCCCAGCCAGCTGCCTCTGCCCAGCCAGCCCTCCCGGCCACCCCCCATCCAACCAATCCTCCCTCCAATGGAACCCCACAGTGGGAGACACTCAGGTCTCAGGAGGAAGGGTAGGGGGCTCCAGAGATCCCCCTGGGGGACTCGGGCATGGCGGGAGCCTGCTGGCTGCAAGAGTGGGTGGTGAGAGAACAGGGTTATTTGCCGTGGGTGACTGAGCAGGTTGGCAATGGGTGGCCCCCTGGGTGCCGAGTGGCCGTGGGGCGGGGGCTGAACCTTTGCCTGGAACGTCGAGGTCTGCAGGGGTGGAGAGAGCAGGGAGGTGTGGGGAGGTTTTATGTGCACACTCCTTGGGCAGGGCTGAGGGGGGCCGGAAGGGGCCCCAGGTCACAAAGGAAGGGGTGGGTGCCCACAGAGGCCAAGATGATGGGGGGGACTTGGACAGGGGCCTCTGGGTGAGGGCTGGAGGCAGCTCAGGGAATCCCAGGAGTGCTGGGTGGCCGGGCCCAACAGTCCTGAGCAAGGAGACCCAGGGGCTTTGAGCTGTGCCCCCTCAAAAGCCTCACTTGAGGACCTGAGATTGGCCAGGCCTGGGGGACTGACAGCAAGGCTTCAGGACTGGCCTATGTGGGAGTGAAGACGTCAGCTCAGCCTGGAGAATGTTCCTCAGAGAAAAAAAACAAGGAAGAGCCAAGCCCCTCCCCAATTCCCTGGGGCCGGAGTGCAAGTTACCTGGACCTCGACCAAGAATCAACACCTCCTCTCTCCTGCTCTGGCCGGCCTGCTTCAGGATGGGCTGGCCACAGCTCCCTTGGTCTCCCTGGGCTCCTAGACAGGCCATTCCCGTGCATGTTACGGGTCTTATGGTGGCACAGCCAGGGCACCTGGGTGGGGGTGCAGGAGGAGCACCGCTGCCCCCAGACCTCGAGGGCTCTGTGCTGGACAGCCAGCCAGGGAGAGGGTGATGGCAGGGGCCGGGCAGCTCATAGGGGCCACCCTGCTGCAGATGGGATGCCGTGTCTGCTGAACTCTGGGAGTGGAGAGGGTCTGTGACACCCAAGGCTGGAGGGATCCAGAGCCCTGTCCACCTCCAGGCGGGCCCATGTGGGTCCCCGAGTGGAGAGGGACGGAAGGTGTGGGGCAGAGTGCAGCGCTGGCGGCTTGAACCATCATCTCCCCTCTCACCTCAGGGGCCTGCCACCAAGACTTCCATCCACCCGTGGAGGCATCCTCCATGTCTTCTCTGCCGCCCGCCCTCTCCTCTCTTCTGATAAGGACACCACAGGAGCAGGGCACACCACGACCTCTTCATGAACGACACCTGCAGAGACCCACTTTCCAGATGGGGTCACCTTGATCAGTGCTGGGGTCAGGACTCGAAGTGTCCTCCCCCCTGCTGGAGCCTTGACAGTCATGGTCCAGCCAGGAACGGCCCCAGGCGGGCTGAGGAGACCACATGTCTGAGGACGGGGACTTTAGGAAGATCCTAGGAAGACTCAGCATCACTCTGCGTCTGGGGGCGGCCACAGGCCTGTCTGCGGTGCCTGGAGCCAGAGTGACTTCCTCAGAGGGCAGGACCAGGGCCCTCCAGGAGGGCGGGGGAGGGGTGCCCCTCCTGGTCCCTGCAGGGACATCCTGAGGGGGACAGAGCCCTCAGCTCTCTGCCTCCCCTGCAGATCTTGCCCCACTCCCTAGGGGTGTGGCCCTCCTCCACGTGGTACGCTGTTCCTGCTCCCTCCACACGCCCCCCTCGCCCATGGGCGAGATACCCGCCTGGCCTGGAGAGTTGGTTGCTGTGTGTCCCAAGCTCCCCCATGGAATTGGGTTCAGCGGCCTGACCACAAGTGTCCTGGGGCCGGCTGCTTCCTGGCCCCAGCCCTGGGGGTGGGTGGGGAGCTGGAAGGCCTCAGGCCCAGGAGGGCTGCCGGGGGGAGGCGACTACAGCGAGTCCACTCTTGAGAAGAACCACGGGGCAGGGAAGCCACCAGGGATTGGGAAGGTGTGGGCTGGTGTCCTGACAGGGAGAATTCACACGGAGTTGGGGTGTCAGACCAGAGAGACCTGGGGCTGAGAGGCCACGGCTAGTGGGGAGCAGGCTCCATTTGGGCCCAGTGGCTGCCTGGCTCCAGGGAGCTCACGACACACGGCTGTCCACAGGTCCCAGGACCACACGTCCACAGGTGGCCACTCCGAGGATGCAGGCTTTAGCACCCTGTCCCCTGAGTCCTGACGTGTTAGACAGTGTGAATGGGGACGGTCGGCCCTGGGAAGACTTTGTTTTGGTTTGATGTTTTTAGTTGCATATGAATTTCCATTGTTTTTTTTTTTTGAGTCGGAGTCTCACTCTGTCACCCAGACTGGAGTGCAGTGGCATGCTCACAGCCTCCGCAGCCTCGGCCTGCTGGGCTCAAGTGATCCTTCCCTTCAGCCTTCCAAGTGGCTGGAACTACAGGTGCATGCCACCACGCCTGGCTAATTTTTTGGTTTATTGTAGACATGAGGTCTCGCCAAGTTGCCCAGGCTAGTCTCAAACCCCTGAGCTCAAGCAATCCTCTCGCCTCCACCTCCCAAAGTGCTGAGAGTACAGGTGTGAGCCACTGCACTCGGCTGAAATTTCCATTTTTACAGGTCAGAATTAGTTGCACACTGGAGTTTTAGACTTTTTCCCAGGGAGTTCTGTGCCTCTGAGCCAAGTTTTCCATGGGGTCAACTCCTTGGAGCTGCGCAGAGATCTGGGAGTCCAGCCTGTGGTCTGAATCTGGCTCTGCCACCAGCCATGGGTCCTCAGCAAGTCACTGTCTCTCCAAGCACATGTATGCCAATTCCACCAGCAGGCAAGACATCCCAGGGAGAGATGGCGGGCAGGAGCCGGGCCCTTTCTGCTCCCACTGGTCCCAGCCCCGGCTCCTTGTCCTTGTCCACGATCGGTGCATGTGGGCAGTGAGTCCTGGCTCAGCCATCAGGAAGCTCACACCTGCTTGCAACGAGAGCCCTGTCAGGGCTGGGACACCGCTGGTCCCTCCTTCCTTCTGAAGGTGGGCGAATCACTGATCCCCCTTTCCTTCTAGGGCTTTAGCCCGAGACCACCTGCTACCTTTAAAATAATCCACTGGGCTCGGTGGCTCAGCCTGTAATCCCGCGCCTTTGGGAGGCTGAGGTGAGTGGATTGCCTGAGCACGCGGGTTCGAGACCCGCCTGGGCAACTTGGCAAGACCTCATTTCTATAATAAATCAAAAATAAGCCAGGCGTTGTTGCGCGCGCCTGTAGTTCCAGCTACTTGGAAGGCTGAGGTGGAAGGATCGCCGGACCCCAGCAGGTCGAGGCTGCAGTGGCTGGGAGCGGCCACTGCACTCCAGTCTGAGTGACAGAGTGAGACCCCAACTCAAAAAAAAAAAACAACTAAAATAATCCAAACCTGGCCAGGTACGGAGGCTCACACCTGTCATCCCAGCACTTTGGGAGGCAGAGATGAGAGGATTGCCTGACTCCATGGCTTCAAGACCAGCCTGGGCAACATGGCAAGACCTGTCTCTACGATAAATCAAAAAATTAGCCAGGCATGGTGGCATGTACCTGGGGGTCTAGCTACTTGGAAGGATTGCCCGAGTCCAGCAGGTCGAGGCAGTGGTGTCCATTAACATGCCTCTGCACTCCACCTGGGCAACAGAGGGAGAACCCTACTCAAAACAATAAAATCGTCCAAGCCTCTCCTAGATGTACGGCCTGAGAACTCAAGAGAGCAATGAAAGGGCAACTCAGGGCGGGGCACGGTGGCTCACGCCCATAATCTCGGCACTTTGGGAGACCGGAGGTGAGAGGATTACCTGAGCCCTGGGTTTGAGACCGGCCTGGGCAACTAGGCGAGACCTCACTTCTACAATAAATCAAAAAATCAGCTGGGCGAGGTGGCGCATGCCTGTTGTTCTAGGCACCTGGAAAGCTGAGGCGAAAGGATCGCCTGAGCCCAGCAGGTTGAGGCTGTGGTGGCCGTGACCATGTCACTGTACTCCAGCCTGGGCTCCAACTCAAAAAAGAAAAGACAACTCAGAGCGTGGATTCCATCCTGCCCCCATGGCAGGGACACAGCTGCACACGGAAAAGGGCCCGTGGCTGGTCACGCGTCCTGGGCCGCCCTCGGTTCCTTTTGCATAATGCTCACTTCTCATGACGTGGGAGCAAGATAAGGGCACCCTGGGCTTTGATGGTGCGCTGCGGTGCGTGAGCTGGGACCGGGGTGTGGCCAGCAAGCTCTCTTTCCTCAAGACAGAATCTGGGAAATCTGGTCAACAGGGCAGGACCGATTCTTGGAACCCGGGCCAGTCTGAATGGCAAGAGGGTGCTGCCTTGTGCTCGGCGCCCAGCGCCGGCCTTACAGGGACAGTCTCTCCAGAAAGACCAATGTGCGAACTTAAAACAAGAAACGGGCAGTTTTAAGATTCTTCCGTGTTTACCCACAGCAGCGGGCCGGCAGCTCAAGCACAGATGGATTAACTTAACCCACAAACCCCAAGTTCTGATACAAAAGTCTTTTTAAAAATAAGTTAAAATCCACGGACACCCGCATTCCAACTTAAACTCTTATCTACACACACGTACAATATCCGTGACTAGGTCACAAGCAAACACCGATGACATGTACATGAATGCCCTGGAGAGAGACGCAGACGGCGCGAGGCCCAATGAGCAGCCAAGTCCGATCTTAAACGGAGGCGCGTCGGACGAGTTCCACGGGAGCCACGAGAGTGTCCGGGTGGCGGCCGGGTCTCTGTGCAGTCGCCAGGTGGATGGTGAGCCCCAGAACGGCTCCGGGGGTGCCTGGGCGGGGGGAAGGTTCCGTTCTGCTTTCCTCAGAGACCATGGCCAGGCTGGGCTCATGCGGGCTGAAGCCTGCGACCGGACACTCTCCGCGGGCCACACTGTGCTGGCAACCCCCGATCTCCTCGGTCCAGATGTAGAGGCCGCCGGCAGGCCACGGGCGGCAGGTGGGGTCCCGCCCTGCGAGGCCGTCCGCTGCCGCGCGCGCTCAGGGGATGCCTTCCCTCCGCTGGCAGCACTGCGAGGGTGGCGCGGACCAGTCGTAAATGTAGGACAGGCGCAGCTGCACCTCCCGCGCGCACAGCCGGCCCTCGCGCGCCAGGGTCCGGTGCTTCTCCAGCATGTCCTCCAGGCTCTGCTTGTGCGTCACCAAGTACTGGTTGCTGCAGCCGCGGGACCTGTACTCCGTGTCGAAGCGCGGGTCGTGCTCGCGCTGCACGTCCACGGGCGCCAGCCAGGCGCCCAGCGACACGTCCTCGCTGTGCCAGGCGCGCAGATACTCGCGGCTGACGCGCAGGTAGCGCACCAGGTCGGCCGAGAGCACGTAGCCGCCGCCCAGCGCGTAGGGCAGGTAGT